AAAAACTAGTTAAAATATATTTAAATAAATAATAATATAATATTTTTATATAATATTAAGTAATATTGTATTTAAAGGAATATGTATATATAAACTATAGCTAAGATATCGGGCCAAGTAGTCTGGCTGTTGTACAAGGGGGGTGCCTCAGGCACTAGCGACACATTTTATTACTAAGAGCGGTCGGTTAATCCGCGGCAAAGCCGCAATCATGAACGCGCTTACGCTCGCGGATTGCTTCAAGACTTCCAAGCTTCACATCACAGTCAAGACCTGCGCTGCCCCCTTTTTCTGCTTCCGGATTTTTTCCCCGACAAAAATGAACACACCACAGCAGTCACGTGATACGGCACGTGGTCAGTCCCTTGGGCAGTCTCCGACCCACGTCTCAGGACAGCCACAACGCATTGTCCGGATCCCTTTCCCGCCTCGCGTCCCACCGATGCGTCGCGCACAGACCAACAACACCACCACGCGCCGACCATCAGCCACCGCCCCACCTCATCATCCTCCAGCCACTGCCCCACTTGCTGCCCCAGCCACCAGCTCCCAAACCCAAGCCCAAGCACCCTCCCCGCCCCCTCTTGCAAGCCAAGCGTCATTGCGAAGTTCGCCAAGGGTGAACACTATCACCAGCCAACCCTGGTCACTGGAAAGTTCGCAAGTTGCGATACTTGCCAGCCTTGACCAGCTTCTGCAGGAGTACAAGAGTGGGCAGGCCACTCAAGCCAGTATTCTCCATGAGCTTCAGAGGATGAATGGCTCAAATGACTCTCAGATTCGGGACAACCAGCTAGAGATCCTTGCTGCTGTGCGAGCTCTGAAGCCATCAGCAGACGATGAACGTGCCAATCTGGCAACCACCGGAATCATGAGCGCCGTTGGGGTTCTTGCCCTTGACTTTACCGCCATGTTCTCGAGGCCCGAAGGCTCGAAAACTCTCGCTCTTCTCCGACTCAGTGCGTCGTTTGGGCTCTGTGCTGTTGGCCTTAGTGCCTGGATTTTCTTCTCTGGTACTAAGGAGGTTGGGCGAGCTGCCCAAGCCAAAGACCGCTAGGTTCGGTTCTGCGGCAGTCTTTCTATGTTCTTTACCGTTGTTGCGGTGGTCCTTGCAACCACAGGTATTTTTACTTTCTCTGGAGATGGAACTAGCTGGGTTTGGTCATTGTTTCCCGCTGTGTTTGTTCCCTTCGTTGTGGTTTGTTGGTGGGAGTCTGGCATGAGAGAGTGCATTTTTGCGAAGTATGGACGCACAAGTTCGTGGTTTTAAGTTTATGATACATGGTTTAGACGCTTCGGTTAAGTCTTATTCTCTTCTCAAATACCTGTAATACAATGATAATAAGAAATGCAAAACAGTATTAAAGTGTTCTACATCTGGCTTATACGTTCTCTAAAAATAACTTACTTGCAGTTTATAATAACTCTTTCCGTTATTATAAGCAATCTTGCCCACAAAACAGCTTTAGTAACGGGAAAAGGTTTAGGTAGGAAGACTTTTATTACGTTTTGCTGTTTATTAATCTAACTTTTAAAATAAAAGGATTAAGCTAGGACTTGTAAGAACTCTCAGAGACAAAGGATGCAGGTAAAGGTCAAGAAGGACATGTACCTGTTTCTAATAACTATTTCAATGCTATCTAATCAAATATTTCTGCGAAGAATATGATAAAAGTAGGTGTTCAGCTTCCTCTTGAGTCGTGTCAATAGTCGCCTTAGTCTTGTCAAGAAGTTGAATTAATTGCTGCGCAATGGAGTATGCATTGAAACCAAATTAATAACTTTGCCTCGTGTAAGGCACGTAATATAAGCATTAGTATCAGTTTCTATTAACTTAAAATAATACTCTTATTAAATCAGTTTAAGTAGTATATTAATTACCTAATATAATTACCTAGGATAAGCTTTTTAGCCTATTTAATAATTATATCTAATTTATAAAGAGAACTTAAATATATTTACTAAGTAATAATATAACTTTGCCTCGGTCTAAGGGAAAATGATTATTTTATTGCTTACTGATCTATTCTGGAAAGAATTTAGAACTGTCCTTTAACTAAGGAAACGCAATGCTAATAACAGCACTAACAAAAACAGACCTGCAGACTGAATAAAGGGCAACGCATTTAGTTACACTTAGTGCTATCTGTAGTATATCCCAAGAACTTTTCTCCTATTTATTAAATATCTTCTTTTACTGGCAGACTGGTTAATATGTCTTCTTAGTAAAATACTTACTTCCGTCCTAAAAAGTATAGAAGGTTAATAAGGTAGCCTTAAACTATATATTATAGCTTTATAGTATATTATATATTATAAACTGTATTACTTTCTTTTAATTAACTATAATATATATTAAGACCTAATTTTATATAAAGGTCTTA